ATGATCAGTGTTGCTGGCACTGATAGTTTGGGACAAACCTGACAAGCTGGTTGTACACAATGTCAATGGATCAACTTGTCTACAATCAGCCTGCTCCTATATGGACCAAAATGCATCTGGTCTCTGCTGAACTGGCTGAATTTGAATCCACGTATGGCCGGCTTAAGGGAGACAGAGATAAAGCAAAAGTAAAAGAGAGTAAGAATGTAAGTGAATGTAAATTAGACTATGCGAAAGTGGAAGATATATTTACCTAAAGCAAAAGAGAGAGCGTAAATAAAAGTAATAGATGGTTAAAAAAAAAAAGTGTGTAGTAGCGGGAGCAAGTAACAGGGAGAGAAGAGAAAGTAAGGGCTCCTTCACACCGGAAGATCTAAGATAAAACTGTAGGATTTTGCTAGTGCATTTCAGAGGCAAGGTATCATGCATTGTGGAGGTGAGCGTTATGGCAAGACAATGGTGTGAATGGGCTCTAAGAGAGACTGTGAGAGTAAAAGAGTAAAAAGGAGAGAGACTAGAAGAAATAGTGACAGAGAGACATAATAACCTCCACAGATACATAGTCTCCTGGTTTGACTCGAACTTCAGTCTCAGGTGAAGAGCTGCTTTCCACAGGAACATCAGGAAAAATGACTTTGATGTTACCATCATTTCTGCCACATAATTCTGCTGATGACCGTTTACTGACCTGGAAGACATAGCCAATTTGTTAAAAAAAAAAAAAAAAAATCTAAAGAAAGGTAAGGTCTATAAGATACAAGGTTTGAGGTCTAAATAACCCCCCTCCCCCCCGAGAGTACTCCGTGCTGTTTACATGTTGGACATAATTTTATAGCGCATTGATTTTTTTTTTTTTGTGTGTGTACTTTTTGGATAACAGATTTAATTGTATATTTTCTCCAAAAAAAAATGTACAGCTAAATACACAATTTAAGTGCATATATGTTCACTGTGGTTTTGGCCAGCCATTTTAGTGATACACCCACCCCTACTAGTCTATAGGATCACTTACTACTTCCTCAATAACCAATATTGGCCAGCTTACTTTTTTCAAGTGGACAGTTTGATGATGCTAATTCAGTGTTTCTCAACCTTTTTTTTTTTTTTTTTTTAAGTCAAGGCACCCTTTAAAGTTATGTTAACCCCTGTATGCCGGCGCCTCCTGGCCCTTTAAGGGTTTCAGAAGCCGGAAGGCGGGGCGGGATTTAGGGTCAGTCACAGCGGTCACATGATCGGGAAAGGTCCTGATCCAAAGAGGAGATCGGGACCTTTCCGTGAGTACCGGACATGTGTGCTGGGAGTGCGCAGGGTGCACGCTCTTGGCACATATGTCCTTTTTTAATTGCACGCAAAGTGCGGTGTAGGCCCAGACGCCGGGAGGCCGCACATTTCTGTGCGGCCGGCATGAAGAGGTTAAAAATATGGACAGCGCCACTAGAAACAATATCAGGAAAAATTATATAAGATAAAAAAAGATATATTGGAAAGAGCAGCTATCTCATCATGAGGACAAGGTGCAATACAAAACAATTAATCGATTAAGACAGCGCTCCTCAATCATAATATACCTCTTAATATATGAACCAAACACATATGTATTAGTGCAATATAATTAAATAGAATAGTGCACTAAATAACACCATGCAAAACAAGACCATGCAAAAGAACGTGACAACTAAACTCTGTAAATACACAAATAAATCAATGTCCAACGAAAATGTCCATAAAAATAATAGTGTTCATAATAGTGAAATCATACATTTTCTTCATAAATTCTTATAATAAACTTCTGTGTTATGTGACCAAACTCCACCGTGAGAATCCACCACCAAATGAATTAAATACACTCACCAGAGCTCCATGCTGGTAAAATTATAAATCAGCTACAAGCGCTTTACCTCTGGGAGCAACGATCTGCAGAGGCACACGCTGGCTAGTTGCAACTCCTTGAAAAGATAATGGACTCTTCATGCACTCAAAATGGGATCAAAAATATATTGCATACAACAATGATAATCATAGGTTTGCTCCGGTCCCAATTAGACATTGGCAGCTCACTCATACGTGGCGACATCACCTCCGAGGCCCCACCCTACGCGTTTCATCATCCGACGTCCTCAAGGCGTATGGGTTGTATTCAATATATGCTAGTGTCGGCTCTGAGACTTCAATGTGAAGCTTTTTTTACTGAATAAAATGACTGGATGGTTTTACGCTATGTGGATCCCTCTTTCTTTCTTTATGATCCCATTTTGAGTGCATGAAGAGTCAATTGTCATTTCAAGGAGTTGCAACTAGCCAGTGTGTGCCTCTTCAGATCATTGCTCCCAGAGCTAGTGACATGCAGTGGGTATAGAAAAGAATCACCCCTTTAAAAAAAAAAAAATCACATTTTGTTGCCTTGCAGTCTGAAATGAAGACAGACACAGTTTTTGTTTTATCCAGCTGTGTTTACTCGGTGCGGCTTATAACGTTCAAGTGAAGTGAAGACAGAACACCAACATGCCAGAAAAAAAAAAATTCAAAAATTCAAAAACAGAATCACCGAGTTGGAAAAAAGACCCCCCCCCCCCGCCCCTAAAAATTACTTGTAAACTCAAATCAGGTGTAGCTAATCACCTTCTCAATTGCACACAAAGTCATTTGACTTTCAACTGTGATCAGCTGTGGCTATTTTTGATTAGCTCAGCATGAAAAGAGCTTTCCTGGAGCATTTCAGTCCCTGGTAGTGCAACTGAAGCAAACAATCAACTATGGGCAGTAAGGCACTGTCATAAAATCACCAGGATAAAATTGTGGACAGGCACAAGTCAGGAGATGGATGTGAAAAAATGCCAAAGACTTTATCAATGCTTAGAATCACAGTGAAGTTGCCAAAATGTCACATGGAAAATGGTGTTCTGGTCAGAGGATACTAAAACTGAATTATATGGCCTCAACACTAAACAAAATGTCCTGCAGAAATCCAATACAGATCACCATCCAAATAACACCATTACTGCAATAAACCATGGAGGTGGTAACATCATGGGGGTTTCTCTGCTGCAAGGACTGGAGCACTTGTCAGGATAAAAGGAAAAAATAGATGGGGCAAAATACCATCAAATTCTTGGGGAAAATCTGTTGCCCTCTGCCAGAAAGTTGTCAATGGGAAGACTGTTTACCTTCCAACATGACAATGACCCAAAGCACACCGCAAAAATGAGCACACAGTGGTTGAAGGAGAAAAAGGTGAATGTCCTTGCATGGCTTAGTCAGAGCCCAGACTTAAACCCCATTGAAAATCTGTGGAATGACTGGACTGCAGTCCAAAAATGGCCACCATCACATTTAACCTCCCATGCGGTATGATTATTTCAGATTTTTGGTGCTGAAAGCGGTACCATTTTTTTTTTGCATGGAAATATGTATTTTTTTTATTGTAGGCTGTAATTTTTAGGAAAAACTCACTGAAATCTGTCCGAACAAGAGTCTAGTAAACATCCCGGGTATGATAAAATTTGAAACACAAAATCATAAATTATAATTTAATAAATAATCATAAAAATAATATAAAAATAACAAAAAATTTAATTCAATAATATAATCAAACCAAAAACACTGAAATGTGAAATATAGCGCCAAGTTCGCACATCTCTGAGCAAAGTCGCAAAATCGTTTTCAGTGTCTGATGACGAATTTCCCCCACAAATCATTATCACTCAATTCTGCAAGTGGTTCTGATTTACTATCGCTGTTCTCTAGCTGATCTAAACCGCTTTTGACCTAAAGGGACGCTTTTTGGACGCCATGGACATTTCTCAGTTTCCAGGCAGAAAGAACAGACAAAATGCAGGCAGGGCACAGGACAAAGCACTAGGGACAATATGTATGTGAAATTGGTTGAGACAGCAATGTTTTACTATGAAAAATGTAAAAAAAAAAAAAAAAAAAAATGACATTTTTTAAAACTTTTAAATTTCCCGCCGCCGGCGGCGGCGGCGGCGCCCGTACGTCCCGACGTCACCACAGGGACAGGACACAGAAGCCGGATGCCGGCATCGGCCGGAGGAGATGGCCGGGGACGCTGCAGGGGACACATCGTGGGAGCGCAGGGTAAGGTAAGTGAAGACAACATGCCGGAGCAGTGCCGCAGGGTAAGCCCGAGTGTAGCTCGGGGTTACCGCTCTTGGTACTGAAATGTTACCCCGAGCTACACTCGGGAATACCGCCAAGGAGGTTAACTGAATTTGAGCAGTTCTGGAAAGAAGAGTGGGCAAATATAGCAAAGTCTAGATGTGCAAAGTTAGTAGAGACATATCCCAACAGACTAAAGGCTGGAATTAAAGGAAAGGTGTTTCAACAAAATACTGACACAAGGGGTGATCCTTTTTCCAACTCAGCGATTCTGTTTTTAATTTTTTTTTCCTGACATGTTGGTGTTATATCTTTCGCTTGGATGTTGTAAGTTTGCACTGTGTGAATACAGCTGGATAAAACAAAAAACGGTGTCTGTCTTCATTTCAGGTTGCAAAACAACAAAATGTAATTAATTCAAAAGGGGGGTGATTCTTTTCTATACCCACTGTATCTTAGCTGCAGCTTTTTACAATCCCCTAAAGGAGCATTTATAAAAAGAATGTGCAGTAAGAAATTACAGGGGCAAAATCTGTAGCATGCAAAAAGGTGACAAGAATAATAATTTATCAGATCATTATTTAGCGTGTTTTGGCTACCTACTAGTATTTCTATTGTATGCTCAGGGTTCAACTTTTAAAGAAGAATGTACTCACTCCCTCTACTAGAACTAAATGTTTGTTCCCAACTTCTCTGTTGTTCACACGTTCGGCCTCCTCTCTGAAAACTGCATTGAGCTCCGCAACCCTTCTTTTCTTCACATCATCCGGGACATCATCATTCAGCCTATGAAAAGCTCTAGTTTTCTGACACAGAAAAATAAATCAACGACTATTAAGCCATTAAACACTAGAGTCTCAGGCACAAAGAACACCACCTAAAATTGTCAATCTACCTTCCTCATGCTGTAGGCAAATATAAAAGCTGAGTTGTAGGACACCTCTCTTAGCAGGGAAACAGTTTCTTGATGATCTTCCTCAGTCTCCTGGCAGAACCCAGTAATAAAATCACTGCTGAGGCTCACACCTATCATAAAGAAAGAAGAATCTATTACATTTAAAATATATATTTACATTAATGGTAGACCATATTTCACTTTAAATTATTAGCACAATGGAAGTCACAAATGTGTCCCATGATCTAAATGCACAATTTCAATATATATATATATATATATATATATATATATATAAAAAATAAAAACAATGGTATAGGTGGAGTGGACAGCAATGATCAATCACAGTGCATAGCAATCAGGCCCTCCCAAAGGCCATGTATGGAAAAAAAAAATGGATTGCTACACACAAAAGAACTTTATAGGTTGAAAAATCACCATACAAAAGAGTGATCAGAAAATGGACAAAGCCATGCATAATCATGTTCAACAAACAGTTTCAGCTATTATGTTAATGCCCTTCTTCAGATCAGAACACATATTGAAGTACAAAATGCTACTATGATCAATTTATACAAACATCATAATTGAAATCGATTATATAATTAACCACAAACTGAATACACATTAGATATACATCTTCTAATAAATGTGGTTAAGAGTGAAAATTCTGTCAAGAAGAAATGTCCCCATATCAAAGATGTGGAATGTAGACATAAATACCTATTATAAAAACCACATATATACATTAAAGAAAAAACAGGAAATGAAAAAGGAAGCGTAAATCAAATTAATAAGTTAATATGCATACACACACACACTATATATATATATATATATATATATATATATATATATATATATATATATATATATACACACACATATACATATACACACACATACATACATATACACACACACACACCCATATACATATATACACACATACATATACAAAAACAGTAAAAAAAAAAACTAAATCTATCAAAAAAAAAAAAATTTTTTTAAAGATATAATACAGATCAAAATCCAAATTTAACCCTTTAGGGGTTAATATATCCAGACAATGGATCCATTGAACCTCCCCTTGTCTAAGTTGTAATTCTCTGTTAGCTCCACGTCTATTTCTAGAAATTCCATTAATGACCATAAATCAAGTTGGGAAACCATGTGACCTTTTTCAACGAAATATCTCCCTAAGGGTAACTTAGTGAGTTTATGTCTAATAGAGCACTTATGTCTGGCTATTTTGTCCTTCACCTTTTGGGTGGTCTCACCAATATATAACAAACCGCATGGACATTTAATCACATATAGCACAAATGATAACTGCCATTTTTTTTACTTTGTTTTTGTGTGTGTGTGATCATAGTAGCATTTTGTACTGCAATATGTGTTGTGATCTGAAGAAGGGTATTAACATAATAGCCCGAAACTGTTTGTTGAACACTATTATGCATGGCTTTGTCCATTTTTTACCACTCTTTTGTATGGTGATTTTTCAACATTAAAAGTTCTTTTATGTGCAGCAATCCATATTATATATATATATATATATTTTTTTTTTTTTTTTTTTTTTTTTTTTTTTTCTTAGCTGTCAGTTAATGCCAGGATATGACCTAAAGAGGGGGAGGGAAGTTTGGGGGTTACATTTCAGTAATACCTGGACATGCACTGTACATTTACTGTGGTATTGTCAAGCTGATTTCTTAAGTTTAATAAGTAAATCTCCCCCTCTAGCGGTAAGAAGTAGTAATGCGTAAAATTTAAAGAAGTGATCACCAACCTGGAATGTGTTCTCTTATATTATGAATCAGATCAATATAAGCTTCTCTGCTATATCTGCAAAACAAGAAAAATAGGATTTTTGTATTCACTGGAAATTCTTTTTCTTGGGAGTTCATTGAGGGACACAGGAAGTCTTTCACTTTAAGGGCTATACTGCAGCTTACAGGAGACACTAGTAAACAAAAAAATGTAGGCTAGCCTATACAACACCACCAACAGTACCAAGAATATCATCTTAAATACTGATGGGTGGGACCTGTGTCCTTCACTAGATTTAAAAAAAAAAAAAAATCCTTTATTCTTTCTCGTCCATCGAGGGACACCTTTCACTTTCAGGACATCCAAAAGCAGACCAACTAAGTGGTGGGCAGCATACCAGATAAACGCTGACAAATCCAAGAAAACAACAGAAAACTGGGCACTGCCTTCAGTTTAAAGAGCCACTTGTAGGACCTTACACTAGAATCCAACAGCAACATCTGCATGATGGAACATCACGGCACATGATGGAACATGATGGAAAGAATGCAAGACCAGAAGACAGTGGCAGCCGTGCCGTGCATATCTGAGAAACAGTTGCTTAATGCTGAAAAGCCCAAGAAGTGCTCACAGGTCTAGTAGAACACACCTTGACAGAACAGGGTGGAACAGAAACCTAGGAACCATAAGCTTGGACAATGGTCTGTCTGACCCTTCCTAGAGATAGTGAAATGAGAAGTTGAATCATCAGTATGGGGACTATCTAGAATGACAAAAAAAATCAAAGAGAATCAGTCTTTCTGAAAGTAGTAGCTGAAAAAGAGAGGCTCTTAAGCTCTCACAGCCCAAGCTACATCCAGACAATAGAGGGAAATTTCCTTTTGGGGAAATTAAGCTGGGCAGAGAAATTAAAGAACAATGTCCCGGTTGAGGTGAAAGGCAGAAACTAACTTAGGCAAGACAGAAGCCCTGGGCCTCAACACCACCTTGTAGAAACATGAAGAAGGAAAACTTAAGCTTTAAAAAAAGTGCCAATTAGAAAAATAATACATATACATCCACACCCACCCTTATAAACCCTGACGTCAGTGGTAAACCCTTCCTATCACCCACTTAAGCTAGGCAGCTAGTAATGTAAACCAATATAAAGTAAATTGTTAGCAAAAAGATACAAATCAGCTACTGCAAAATGTTAGCTCAAAATGTCAGGGATTGACTGGTAACAGTACTTTTCAAAGTCCTCTTCAAACAGGTACAAGGCAACTAAGTGCTTAAGGGGGCAGTAAACACGTCAGGCAGTAATAGAAGACTTTATACAGCAGATGCAATGGGAAATTTTTTGCTATCTTAGGGACTTTAAAGTATTCAAGACTGGAAGCAACAATGGTAGAAGCACCAAGCTGATCCCATAGTTACACAGAGCTATGCACTGCATTGACAAGAGCCAAAATGATCTATCTTAATTTGGGAATATCAGCAAAATAAAAGTGACTTCTCAAGGATGAGGTCACCAGGTAAAGACTGAAGCGACTCAGAATCACCTGTGCCTGCCTGGGTTTCCTCCAGGTTTCTCCCACACTCCAAAGACATGCTGGTAGGTGAACTGGCTCCTGTATGGCTCTAGTATGTGTAAGTATGAATGTGAGTTAGGGACCTTAGATTGTACACCCCTTGAGGGTTAGGGACTGATGTGAATATACAATATATGTAAAGCACTGCATAAAATTGACAGCACTATATAAGTACCTCTAATAAATAAATAAAATCAGAACGTCTGCAGCTAAAGACTCAAAAGCTGATAAGACCGAGGGTAAATCAGATTGTGCTTGTGGCCTAAAGTGGGTAAAGAAAAGCATCACCCCCTTTTAAAATAATCACATTTTGTTGCTTTGCTTTTGGTAGCCTCTTTGACCAGTTTCCTCCTGGCTCTCTCATCCAGTTTGGAGCAACATCGTTCAAGGAGGATCTGTGTTGTACCAAATATCTTCCACTTCTTAATAACAGACTTCCCTTCACTTCCACGCATTGATAACACCTTTGACATTTTTTTCATATCCATCTCCTGACTTGTGCCTGTCCACAACTTTATCCCGGAGATCTTATGACAGTGCCTTACTGCCCCATAGTTGATTGTTTGCTTCAGTTGCACTACCAGTGACTGAAATGCTCCAGGCAAAGATCTTTTCATGTTGAGCTAATCAAAAGGATCACAGCTGATTTTTAGGAGTCATTTTTAGTCAGGGGGTGAGATCCTTTTTCCAACTCAGTAATTCTGTTTTGTATTTATTTTTATTTTTTTTTCTGACATGCTGGTGTTACAGCTTTCACTTGAATGTTATAAAACAAAAACTGTGTGTCTTCATTTCAGGCTGCAAAGCAACAAAATGTGATTATTGTAAAGGGGAGTGATTCTTTTCTATACCCACTGTATGTGACTAGAGCCAGTGAATAGCTGGATGATTTGGGCCATACAGTCTTGCATGACTATAGTATAATCCTCAGATTAATGGGCAGAAGAACCAACTACACCCAATGGAGCTAAAGAAGACTCTTAAGATGGATTAAATTCTAGGAGCAGTGGGCATCCAATCCAGCAAGGTCTGGATATAGCATTCCAAAACCTACTTTGTAAATGGCTGAGCTGGACAGCTGCAATCAAAGAGACCAGCTTCAGCAGTAATGTAACAAAGAGAAATAAAGAGAGTTAATTGAAGAAAAATGTTGAGGAGGAGGAGTATGAAAAAATGTGCTAACAAAATTAGTCTCACACACAATGGAGCTGAAGAAAAGCCGTACATCCCCCTACGACATTAGCAAAACTAAGGCATGCTGGTAGTACAGTAGAAGGGGTTATCCTGGGCTGGACCACAGCTTTTTTCTTTTGTTTTGCCCATTTCTAATGCTCCTGTAGTCAACAGTATAACCCAAGGGTGACATTGCTCCTGAGTGCCTCAATGGAAAGGACATAAAAAGTGATTTTTACACATTTATTGATTCTTTGTTTTAGCAAATTAATTGAAAAACTCACCCTCTTCTCATGGCTTCTAAAACCCTGTTACTTCCACTCTGAGCAGGAATGTGGATCTGTTTGCAGATATTATGCCTTTCGCTTAGTAAGTGAAGGACCTACAACCAAATAGAGGGGAGGCAATGTTAGTGTAAAGACAAATTTCTATTTAATAGGACCTCCCCAACCCAACTGATCCACACCTTCAATGACGTCATATCAGTAGAAGTCTTTTATTTAGGCTAAGTTCACACTAGTTTTGTTAGCAGGCGTTAGACAGGTGTTTGGGAAGCGTTTTTAACGCTCCTCAAACACCTATGAAAATTCTACACATGGCAGCACACAGTTGAAGTTTCCCATTCAAGTCTATGGTGACGCTCAAATGCCTGGCAGGCATTTGCGGAGCGTTAACATTAAACTTCATTTTAGGCGTTTGTGGTGCGGTTTTAACGCTTGGAAAACACCTCTAAAACACACATAGGGCGTTTGGGGAGAGTTTGAGGAGCGGTCAAAATGTTTCTTAAATGCCTGTCGAACGCTATAGGGGCATTTGGCAAGCGTTAGAAATTAGTCAGTTATGAAGGAGCCATTATTCAGCTCAGTAGTCAGACTAATACTATCAAAACTGGTTGTACAGGTCCCCCCTCACAGGCAGGCACAGCTGTGGATGAACTACAATATTGCAGCACCAGTTTCAAATGCACAGCTGCTGAACGATGCTAGGAGCTATTCAGGTTACTGACAGACGGTTACCATTTTTTTAATTTCCTGTAGAGTCAAAGAATGACAGCATTCTGTTAAAAAAAAAAAAAAAAAAAAAAGACAACTTGTGTGTCTGTATATATGCATTTCACACAAATCAGCCTTCTTCTGTCTCACCTCTACCAAAATTACAACGTACAGTACCAGTGAGTGATCCCAGCAGAATGGAGATCATAAATAGATAATAAACAGTCCTGATGTGGCCTCCCCCCCTTGCATACCTCACGTTTGATCAATAACTGAAATGGTAAGAAAGTCCATACACTGTATAGGTATAGTTCTAAAGGTAGCCATGGCGCACTATATTTGAGATAAATGCCCAGGTGCTCACACAAAAAGAAATCCATATAAATCCAAAACGGATTTATAGGCACTCATGGGTCTTGCAGAAGAGGAAGATCAAAAACAGCAGTGTTTTTATTATCAACATTTTGATGAAGCTCAGTCCATCTTTCTCAAGACTTGAGAAAATGGACTGAGCTTCATCGAAACGCTGACAATAAAAACACTACTGTTTTTGATCTTCCTCCTGCCAGACCTAGTGCCTCTAAATCAGTTTTGGATTTACTGTATAGGTATCTGAAAGTCAAGCTTGGTCCTATCTCCACAGTCATTCTATCAATAAAAGAGACAACCAATAAACCTAAAGCAACAATAGGAGGCATGACTGAGTATGGCCAAGTGTATATTTACAGGAAAAGTAAAAATTTATATAGAACATTTATGTTACTTTAGTTTTCTTTTTTAAAGCTCAAGTTATTCAGGTGTAAAACTAAAGCAGTGAATGGCTCACATATGTGTATGGTGTCAATACTTAGTGGATCTGCACTTCCAATGTGCATCAATCCTTCCTCAAAGTTTCTCTTTCAGTTAGTGAGATCCCAGTACTTCTGGTATCAATCAGTTGCCACTGCCTGTGTTCTGCTCCCTGAGTGACTGATCAATTCAATGTCCAGTGGAGCTTTAAATCATCAGCACTGCCTGAATCAAATGAGAATTCACATGGGCAACCAGCAGTCTCTGCCCAGCTGAACCCAACACCAACCCTTGAATAAATGGATGATTGCATTCTCAATATCAGTACCTGTTACCATCTGAACAAAAGGTTGTGTAGGAACAGAGGGAGGAGGGGCACAGAAACAGATGTAGATGATCTTTACAAAAAGCAGATTTTCTTGTTTTTAAAAACCAAATGATTTGTTTGTAATAAGTTTAGTTCACAAAAGACTGCAGTATTGCCAACCTCATCTGGAAAGTCCTTTGGATGCGGAGAGGTAAATCGTATCCTCATTTCTGGATCTATCCTGGAGACTTGATCCAAAAGCTCCACAAACCTCAGCCCCCCCTTTTTGGGCTTGTAAATTGTACTAAAACCACGGCTCAGATGAGATGCTTCTGAAGCAGGGAACTGGACTGAAGAAATGTCGCGGTAGCTGTTGACATTTTGACCTAGTAAAGTTACTTCCTTTACTCCCTGAAAAAAAAAATATAAAATTAAATGAAAGATATAACTGGTGAGCTTCCAGCTCAGATATTATAATCAAGTGTGCATTGCACTTCAACATTTGTATTTTCTCTGTTATAATATATTTAGACAAACAATGCACATTTACTTACCTGCTCAGACAACATCCTAATTTCTTCCAGGATGGAGTGGACTGGGCGGCTTCGCTCTCGGCCACGAGTGAAGGGGACTATGCAGTAAGTGCACATGTTATCACATCCTCGCATGATGGAGCTGAAAGAAAGTGTGATTAAATAAGAGAACTAACATGAGCCATTATCTGCCTACAGCCGGCCTTACACTATACAATCTGATCATTTATGGAAGATCTAAACGATATATTGCAAAGGAAAACTTACAAACCACATTGCACAGCCAGCAAATAATGTCTAGAGTGCTGGGGAACTGTCAAACTGAGGCCATCAGAAGTATGCTGGATCTGCTCTAGCTGTCAAAGGAGCAGCATCTGTAGTAGCTGTAAGCCCACACTAATAGGGGAAAGACAGTGAAACTGACAGGCAATGCTTTTCAGGGACTCATCCTTTTCCCCTTCCTTGAAAAAGTGGGTATGTCCTTGAAACACATTGCCTGTCAGTTTCAGTCAGGTTCATGGTCTTTCCCCTATCCAAGTGTGTTTTCTATTGCTGCAGATGCGGCTCCTTTGACAGCTATAGTGGGTCCAGTGTGCTTCTGCTGGCCCCAGTTTGACAGTTCCTAAAACACTCTGGCTGGGCTCCAATGTGGATTCTAAGCTTGCCTTTGGAGCTTTACCATGTAAGTGGATACTTCTTTTATTTTTAAATAAACATATTGATATTAACCCCTTTCCTGCACCCTCCTGTTTTATCTCACTGTCAAGACTAGTTTGCCATAGAATGATCCCCCCACTTGTACCATAATAGCTTCAAACGGTTATCTCAAAGCGGCATTATACACTGACAGCAGCAATAGTGTACACCTGTGCACCATGATAGCAATACACCCCACCACCTGCACCAGGACATCCAGAATCAAAGCATAACATGTCATGCTGTAAATCAGTGATCAATGATGTCATAGTGGCTGACCATCAATGAAAATGGTATGAGACCTTCAAGGCCATAGGGGTCTTCAATGTAAAAGGTCTTTCTCCTGTATCACCAACGTAAAGAGGGTCATTTCTAGCATTAACATGATATGATGGCAAGGAGAGCATTTACTTGCTGAGATGGTTTTACATTAAGCACCACAACACATCACCAGCAGGCCAGGATATTCTGAACTCCCTTCTTGGTGAACTGGTGATGGGTTACTCAGTGCATCTCAGAATTCGTTGAATTTCAGGATTACAAAAAAAATGAAGCTACAAGGAGTTTCTCTGATGATGGCTCTGTCTTATGATTGAATGTTAAAGGAACTTACACAAAAGAAGAAATACTGTTTGCAGATGTTTGCACGGGCATGATGTCAGCATAGGTCTCATCTAAGGAAAGGAGAAGATTGGCAGCTTGCTGGCCTGTTTCTGCCACACCAAGAAGTCGAGGCAAATCACGATAGGCATCAGGACCAGCTAGTACATCCACCAGCTTCTCTCTTTGAAGGATTTCCTCTTTCAGGCGTTCTGCCATACATCCTTTACCAAGACATTAAAAAAAACACATCACAATGATTAGCAAAAAGCCTTGTTCAATCATTTTTTCCATCACCTCTGCTGAGTCATTTTACTGCTTTTCCAATAAAAGATTATATCTGACCTGCTATTCCATCAAAGAAGAAACATACCCTCCCTTTCCATTTCATATGGAAAATTTACGTGAAAACATACATGAAATTTTAATTTGACAAAGATGGCTGGAAAGCTGGCAGCAACTGCTAAGCTTTCTTATTAGAAAGGCCAGTACTATCAACAAGTTCTGTAGGATTTCATACAAGTATGAGAAAAATATAAAGGACAGTTTATTAACTTGTAAATGTCACAAATAATGACCAAGCACTATGTCAATTTCTCCTTAATATCAGACCTAAGGGTAGTTGGCATATATTCGTGCACATACCTAACAGTCCTATCCTCAAAGGACCTTGAGATTTATTTCGAGTTCTCTTGAGATGTGCAAGTTGCTTCAGACGGTTCCAAATGGTCTGTTCTGCTTTTTCTCTGCCAACAAATATCAGAATGGTTTACTTTTGTGTCCATATCTACATCGTCAATGTACTGAAGTAATATATAGTACACCTATACTATAGATTAGTGATACAATAATGTAAGTGTAACATTGGTTTTCCAATGATGAAGGTTTTAGCAGATTTAAAGGATAATTTCACCTTTGGGAAAATGTTACATGTAGTGTGGAACATGTAACATTTTCCCATAATTGCAACCGTGCCCGCTTGCCCCCCCTCCCTCTGACAGATAGTACAGGGAGAAGTTTCCCTGTACTATCTGTCAGATTTAAAACCAGCGCGGCTGTGCGGGGCTCCATCCACAATACCAACGTAGTGTTCTGTGAATGAAATGCCTACAAGTCCTGACAGCCTTAGAAACGGATGTGGGCTTGTAGTTTTCAATGAACTACCACAGCATTGTGGAGTGCCGTGGTACTTCATTGAAGCTTCCTGTCAGTATATCTGCTTGCTCGTACATCCCGTATGGGCAAGCAGATATTCTGACAGGGCTGCAGAAGACAGTATATACAATATACTAACAGAGACCTGCATGGCATATAAGCAATCTACTGGCTCCTTAGGACTGGCTCTACAGGCTCCTTTGGAGAAAAATAATAAATGCACATTTTTTACCTGCAAAAAATGTGCATTTATTATTTTTGTCCAAAAAGTGAAGGTGGTGGTTTCATCTTTAAAAAGTACCCACGGTGCACCTTGGGAGGGAGAGGGGATAGGGGCACTGACATCATGCATCTGGGTATGATTTGATACCATCGGACACAGGAGCTTATTCAGGGTGGACACCTGCAGTGGAAAGATGGTGGGACAGTATAGACTGGCGCATACTGTATAACTAGCTGGTGGGATGGAAGGTGGGTATAGTGTGGGCTACCAGGAGGCATTCTCAGTCTGCCCTATATGGACAGGTGTGTCTTTAATTCGGACCTCTGGTCATACAATAAACAGAAAATAGCCTAAATAGGGGTATCAATCTTTTAAATGATAGTGTATATATCATTCAAAGTATCTTGTGTTACACAAAGAGTGGTAGCAGACAAGTCCACAATGGAGGCATAAACAGTATGGTAATCCCATAGAAAATGTCAGTTTTACAGCTTTCTTATATACCCAAACTCTTAAAGAGAGAAAAAAAAATTATAGAGCTTCAGGCTACCAATTTCTCTCGTCGTATCCACTCACCTACAATGAGACCCACTCCCTGTCTATTCCCAGTCCTCACTTGGCAATCTCTGTAAGAGCTCATCAAACACAGCAACCCGAGTTTAGTGTGTGGTTCCACTTGGTCATTTACAGCGCATTAGCGGTTCATTTTGACATTATCTATTTATATTTTATAGAGCTGCATTTGCAACCTGCTGTACTTTTTTTATTTTTTAACCCATGTGAAAACACCACAATGGTGTAACGCCTGGTTCACACCTGTTTGTTTTTTGGTGCTTTTTGCAGAAACGCACTACAGTCCATTTAACATAATTTCCAATTGGACATGTACACATCTATGCTTTTTTCAGCTGTTACATTTTTGGAAAGGGTCAGGGACATTTTTAAATGTAAAACGGTGCGTTTCTGGTTCAATAGACTTCAATGGAGTCACTGCAGAAACATGTAGTGCATTTTTGATGCATTTGTGAAGTATTTTTGACACGTGTCATGTATTTTAACAAAAAATTGGCCAAAAAGAGCATACAAAATGCATGAAAACCGCATTAAAAACACATGTGCAAAAAAGCCAAATGTTCTGCAAAAAGCACTGCAGAAACAGATCAAAAAGCAAACTGCATAGCTGTGAACCAGGCCTAAGCCAGGCTCATTAAAATACATACATTTTTCCTGTATATGCAATCGTACTGCATTTAAAAATGCATATTTTGAGTCCTAAATTACATTCCATTTATATAGGAGTTGTCAAAAGACGTGAGCAGTTGTTAACCCTGAAATCATTTTTCACTTATACAGTCAAATTTAGGAAACCCCCACTATATGTTTGTTATGTGTTCCAATTCACACAGCATACCTAAAATTGATTAAAAAAAATGAAAACAGTTACCAATGTGCAACTAGGGACAAACTAAAGGCAGGTAAACATACACTATATTTCCAAAAGTATTGCGACACCCCTCCAAGTCATTGGATTCAGGTGTTCCAATCACCTCCATGTCCACAGATGTATAAAATCAAGCACCTAGGCATGCAGACTGCTTCTACAAACATTTGTGAAAGAATGGGTCGCTCTCAGGAGATCAGTGAATTCAAGCGTGGTACCGTGATAGGTTGCCACCTGTGCAATAAGTCCATCCGTGACATTTCCTGGCTACTAAATATTCCACGTTCAACTGTTAGTGGTATTATAACAAAGTGGAAGCAACTGGGAACAACAGTAACTCAGCCATGAAGTGGTAGGCCACATAAAATGACAGATTGGGGTCAGCGCAAGCTCGCCAACTGTCTGCAGTGTCAATAGCTAAAGACCTCCAAACTTCGTGTGGCCTTCAGATTAGCACAACAACAGTGCGTAGAGAGTTTCATGGAATGGGTTTCCATGGCTGAGCAGCAGCATCCAAGCCTTACATCACCAAGTGCAATGCAAGGCGTTGGATGCAGTGGTGTAAAGCACGCCGCTACTGGACTCTAGGAGACGTGTTCTCCGGAGTAACGAATCACGCTTCTCTGTCTGGCAATTTGATGGATGTGTCTGAGTTTGGCAGTTGCCAGGAGAACGGTACTTGCCTGACTGCATTGTGCCAAGTGTTAAGTTTGGTGGAGGGGGGAATATGGTGTGGGGTCGTTTTTCAGGGGCTGAGCTTGGCCCCTTAGTTCCAGTGAAGGGAACTCTTAAGGCGTCAGCATACTAAGACTTCTTGGACAATTTTATGCTCCCAACTTTGTCGGAACAGTTTGGAGATGGCCCCTTCCTGTTCCAACATGACTGTGCACCAGTGCGCAAAGCAAGGTCCATAAAGACATGGATGAGCGAGTTTGAGTTGGAGGAACTTGACTGGCCTGCACAGAGTCCTGACTTCAACCCGATAGAACACCTTTGGGATGAATTAGAGCGGAGACTGCGAGCCAGGCCTTCTCTTCTGATATCAGTGCCTGGCCTCACAATTTCGCTTCTGGAAGAATGGTCAAACATTGCCATAGACACACTACTAAACCTTGTGGACAGCCTTCAGAAAAGAGTTGAAGCGGTTATAGCTGCAAAGGGTGGGCCAGCTCAATATTGAACCCTACGGATTAAGACTGGGATGCCATTCAAGTTCATGTGCATGTAAAGGCAGGCCGACCAATACTTTTTGCAATATAGTGTACATTGTACCACCTAAGCCTTGGGATCTTTAGCCCTTTTATGACAGTGTTAACATCTAGTTTAACGAAAAATGAGATTTGCCAGCACAGTACAGACAGGATTAATTACGGTAAACATACTTTCCCAGTCGACTACTTAAAATTACGTAAAAGAGGAGCGCTAAACCGTTTTTAAGAAAGTAAAAATGTAAGCAACAATGCTGATTCTGATATGTCAATGGGGACATGTAACAAATATACAGTATATGTTATCCAAAAGTGGAAATAGTGTACAAATAAAAAAGTGCGCTAATTATTCACAAAACATGCAAGGATAAACGATAAAAATAAATAAATTCATAAATATAAACATAAGTCCAGCCACCATAACAGTGATAGTCCAATATCAACTTAATGTCAATCTTGAAAACAAACACCCATGTGCAAATCCGACACCAGATGAAATGAATACACTCACCAGAGCTATATGCTGATTATGTTATAAACCAGCATGATAGCATTTTGCTCTGGGAGCGATGATCTGCAGGATATCCCAGTAGAGAAACAGCAACCAATAGTGATCCAATCAGCACATATGGAACAGCTAGGCAGCACATATGGAACAGCTAAGCAGCAAATGATCTTCCAATAACATGGGCAAAGCTCAAGGAATAAGAAGAGATATGATGGTGCAGTACGTTTAAAACCAGTAAAATTTATTAGTAAAGTATTGCACTCACAAAGAAGGTGTCTAGCCGACACCAGCAATGACAGCCTCTAAAATGCCACATCCACAAGGGAAAAACCAAGGGACGAACCTCCTGCACTGCGATCAACACAGCTGGGAGGAACGTTCCAACGTCACGTCCACTAGGCCAGGCCCAATGCGTTTCGTCACTTGACGTCGTCAAAAGTGGAAATAGACTCTAAATGTAAACCCCTGACCACTTCTACCAAACCCTGCATGAACACAGGGATGTCCAGATCTGAAAATATCATCCTCACTACCATAGGTGACTGCAACATTTTGTTAGTTGAGGAAATTTTAAGTGCTTTTATGACCTTTATATGCATTTTCTATAAAGCCTTATTTACATATGAAGTCTGTATCACACCTAAAAATAAAAAAGGTTGATGATAACCTACATAGCCTTGCTTAAGCTCACCATATACAGAGTAGTCTTTTTCTGTTCCCTTTCATAACTTGTGTTGTTTTCGGTTAGCACATCCCAACACATATACGGTATTTGATTGATAGTGCAGCTTGTATTGTATTTATGATATTTAATGGTAAAGCAAACAATAGCGGACAACAGAAAATACACGTAAATGACATTCAGTTTGAAATGAAGGCTTTACCTGATTGAACATGTAACCAGAAGGATCACATCAGCCTAAAATAAAAAGAGAGAATGAATACCTGAAAGGTTGCAGTAAAGGTGCTAATAAATCTAAAATGAACACTACCTTAGGCTGAACTCCATGAAACATCTAAATACACAGATTAAATACATACATACATACATACAGACAAAGGATTTTCTAGTTATGTCAATTTACTTTTGAGATTTACACAGCCTGTCTGGCAAGGGACCAGATTTTTCTCTCTGCAGTAAAGAACACTTTCAGGTCTCCTTCCCACCCTTACCGTGACTGGACAATGAAGGGGAAGCAGGCAACCGATGAGTCTCACTTCGCTCTCTTCAACTATCAACATGTGAATCGATTGGCTTCTTGTGTTTCTTCTTCCTCTTCCAGTCTGAGCTCATTGTACAGAGGCTGATTCCATGTCAAGCTCAGGTTCTTACACTGCTTGCATTTCTCAAAATACATTTAAAGCCTAACTTCATGTTTTAATAGTTAATTTTGCCAAGCTGGCCTAAACAAACTAACTATTCCCTTCATTAACACATACAGCAGCTGTCAGTGCTCTATGAACTCTTAGGTAGCCTTATGAATGAATACAAAGCTTCCTCTGAGTTGGAGATTGGGAATCATTCACCCGCCTCTCCACCTCACCCAGAGGAAGTTTTGTATGCATTCAAAAAACTACAAGACTTTCTGTGAATGGCTAAACAGCGCTCAGCCCATCTTGAGTTTGTTCCAGGAGCAGGATAGGAAAGTCCCCATTCTGCTGCCAGAACACAGTGCTGTATACTGTATGTAGCTGGTGCTACATACAACTCACGCAGTGCTGATGGCCGCTGTATGTGCTAGTGAAGGAAATTGTTTGAAATGGCTCAGTGTAAACAAACTATTTAAAGTTCAATGAAAGATGGAGTTAAGCTTTTATTATGTATTGCTGAATAGAAAGCTGCATTACTATGTGTCTTTTGTATTTACTAAGAATTCAGCCGTGAAAAAAAAGAATATGGATTAAATCTGCCTATTTAGAACTGTTTTAACCAGATGTTGTTTTTTATTGTTGGTATGTTCTTGGTTTTGTTCCTTTCCCCCATTTATGCTTACATCTAAAACAGGGAGGAATAAAAGGTAAAAGGAAAAAGTAAGGTATTGTCAAGATGGCTATGGATCCTGATGTTCTCTGTTTTGATTGGTTACTATTTCTGTTATTCTGTGTATTACAGGATCTGCGGATCCACATTGTTCTATTTATGTGTAATCCTGTTGTTGCAGTAACATCATTGTAGATTCTGTAAGCACTGTTCCATTTTTTAAATTGTCTTGGCAATAAAAGTTGTTTGGATTTAAAAAAAAAAAAAAAAAAAAAAAAAAACTGTTTCATTATCCAGAGGAAGTAAGACTGCATGACACAAGTATGAAGGAAGGAACTGCAATAAGGAGACTGTCACTGGGGACCCCATCAGAAAGTAACTCAGCCCATAAACATTCACCATGAAAAATCAGTTTAGCATAACCTGACCAGGAGTAAATGAGCCTAGACTGCCCACGTAAGTCCACACAACCAGCCCACACTCTTCAGGCATGAAAATAAACATACTATTCTAATTATTTCCTGTAATCTCTTCCCTGCAGCTGATCACATAATCTCCACAAAGAAGTCTTGTGACATGAAGTTCAGGCACATTCAATCAGTCGGTGGTGGTGGGGGCATTTAAAAGAACAGTATTCTTACTTTATACCCCGATCACACCTCTGAGATTTAAAATTGTGCGATTTGTGTGCAATTTCAAGTGTACAATCAAAATGCACACGTTCCTGCATTAAAAATGGCAGTGTGTATAAGTGGGTGCTGCAGCGACCGTCGATCACATGCCTGATGAAGGGGTCCTGCGAGACTCTGAAACGTTGCCTTGCTGTAACTATGTGATCAGTCATTAAAACCTTTGGACCCATATTGGTGATCCTCGGTGTGCTGGTGACATTCTCCCTTGTGTGCAGTTTCAGCGCAATTTCAAATGCAAATTTCTGAAGACTTTATTGCTACTTTTCAACAATTTCTTGCAATTTGCAGTGCGATTTCCACTATAGTCTATGTATGTGAAATCGCAACAAAAAACTGCAGAAAAAGTAATTCAAGAACTACTTTAGAAATCACACTCCAGCACAGGAGCGGACTGACCATTTGGAAACTTGGGCACTGCCTGAAGGCCCGGGGTCAGTAGGGGGCCCCATGAGATGCCCCTGGTACCTTTTTAATAGGCTTTTTTGAGTTTGGGCAAGGACACAGGGGCCCCATGATCCCCTATTGCCCGGGGGCCCCATGAGTTGTCAGTCCGCCCCTGCTCCAGCAAATCACACAAGACACTGACATACACTAGATGCGATTTCAATTTGCAAATCACCCCCGAAATCGCACATGTATGAACAGGCACTGATCAGAGCAAAATTTCCAATGCCATGGCTAGAGTTTGCAGGACGTATTAAGAAAGGTAAGCTATTGACACCTCTTCAATTTCAGCAACGTATGTGAACATAAAACTCTAAATTCCAGGTCATGATTGATAAAAGGTAATATTTCGGTCATGTAAGGATATTGGATTGAAAAACCCACTATCCATTGCTATGTCCTATGAACAGAGGAACCAAGATATCTCCCATCTGTAATATTATTAACCCAAACTTATATAAGTCCCGTAAAGTACCAGCACACCTCGGTTTACAAAATGCCTCAGTTAACGTAATTTTCGGCTTCCGAATGAAAATCCATTGAAAGTAATGCCCGATTTAAGAATTTTTTTTCGCAATACAAACAGATTAATTGGTTTTCAATGCATTTACAAATTTTTTTTAATCATGTCCCTGTACAGTACTATGCCTTTAAACTGCACTTTATAAAGAGTTTTGAACTGATAAGACTCTTTTTTTATTTTTTTCTGACCTCCGGAATGGATTAATTGGTTTTCAATGCATTTATGAAATTTTTTTTAATCATGTCCCTGTACAGTATTTATGCCTTTAAAGTGCACTTTATAAAGAGTTTTGAACAAGTAAAATACTTTTTTGTTTACTTTTTTCTGACTGGAACGGATTAACTGGTTTTCAATGCATTCCTATGGGAGACCGCGTTTCGGTTTATGAATTTTTTGCAATACGAAAAGTCCCGCATAAAGCATTAAATTCGTTAACCAAGGTACGCCTGTACGCCTATCACACAAGTTCCTGAAAATGGCTTTGTAATAGGTGGGAGCTACAGTGGCTGCTTGCTGGGAACCGGTATCGACATAAAGTTAAAGTGGTTGTAAAGGCTCAAAGTTTTTTAACTTCATGCATTCTATGCATGAAAGTAAAAACTACCTGTGTGCAGCAGCCCCCCTCCCCAAATACATACCTGAGCCTCATCACGATCCAGCAATGTGCACAAGAGCCTCAGATTTCTGGAATCTCTCTCTCCTCATGGCTGAGACCATAGCAGGATCCAATGGCAACAGCAGGAGCCAATGAGGAGAGAGAGGGCGCAGGAAAGAGAAGCGGTGCTGTGTGTGAATGGACACAGAGCAGCGGCTCGGGAGCGAACATGCTTGGATGAGCTGCTTGCTCTGGGGGCAGAAGGGAGGGGCCAGGAGCGCCAGCGGGGGATCCCAAGAAGAGGAGGATCGGGGCTGCTCTGTGCAAAACACAACACAGAGCAGGTAAGTATGACATTTTTTTTTTTTTAATTGCCTTTTATACGACTTAGGCATATATTGTTAGCACACTAACGATCTTTGAAATTGCATCCAAACGTTTACTGAAGTGATCATGCCTGGGATCCTGTGCTGCCCCAAAATGTCACAATTTTATGCTGTGATGTGATAGTTTCAATAAACGTTTGGTTGCTATTTCAAAGATACTTGGTATACTGGCTATATCCACAAAAAAAAAAAAAAAAAAAAGCTGTATGAACAATAAATTGATCTACATGGACCACTTCAGTGTTTCTACAGAGGTTTCATTACCTCAGCTGCTGTATTAATCCTGACGTATCCATTTTTCTGTAAGACAGACCAGGCAATTTCTGTATCATTCACGTTCATCTGACATCCATACGTCTCAAAATATACTAAAGAAATAAAGACATAATATATTAATCTCACTTGACACACAGATTGCCCTCTAATGTATTACATAACTCTAAAATAGAGCTACTGCCCCCAAATATTAAAAAGATACATTTGCTTTTGTTGCAACAAAAATTAGTTTAGTAAATAACCATGTGAATGAGCCCTTAAACCAAACCCGCACTGACCTTTGTTGCTACAGACACTGTGGACCAATTTATCCTCAATATTATAGAAGAACTAAAGCTATGCAAGTCATTCTCTGTACAGCTAAGCTCACCTAGTTAGACCTTCCAAGAACACCTGCATTGTGATTACATTAGTGATTCGAGACTGTAAAGTTATCAAATCACTTTTAGAAAATTAGAGCAGCAGGAGCCAAACTGACAATAATATGATTTCTGTGCTTTTGGGGTAAGTTTAAAAAAACCCCAAACATTTATTTAAAAATCAATTAACTTAAAAAAATAAAACTTTCCCCAAAGCAAGTTAACAATAAGCAATGTGTAAGGGGCTCATGTACACTGCAGCTGCTAAACTGACGTTCAGGAGCTGTTTTTTTTTCAGCAGCCCCTGAACTCTCCCTAATGTTTTCCTATGTGTCCATGTACACATAATCATTTACAGGCAGTTGAGTTCACAGTCGGTTTTTTTGAATACACCAAACTTGAGTTCAGGAGTAGATTTTACCAGCGTTTCAAACGCCAAACGCTTGTAAACACGGTTAACTGCATTTAAAAGGGTTTGCGTTTAGAATCGTTTTTTAACTGTTCCATATCCAGATGCTGTCCAGAGCCTTTTTCATCATCAGAAATGCATGAAAAGCGTTTTCCATGTATTCAAATGGACCCGGTACACCTGCGCAGTCAGTTCCCGGTTTTGTGTGAAGAAAAAATGGTAGAATGTGCCGCATTATACTCATGATGGGATCCATAGTGAATACAACCAGAAAAGACAGGTTATCTCAACACATACTGCTCTCTCTGCTTCTGCTCTCTATTCCTCTCGAAATGTCTGAAATAGTTATTTACTATTTTCAGTGCATTCTGGGCATTTGGGAAGGTCTCCTGAGGTTATCTTTTAAAAACGCTTCTAAATGCAACCGCTCATAAACGCGGTATGCAAACACAGCTAAACTGACGGTTTTTAACCTACGTTTTCCAGCAGTTTCCATCGTTCAGAAGAGTTTTCCAAACGCCCCGTGTACATGAGCCCTAAGGCTCGATTCACACTGCCGAGGCTTGGGATCCAACTTGTGAGACCCCAAGTTGCATGACATGTAAAATCCCATGTTAGTCAATGAGAGCTGTCTTAATCAGCACTACTGAAGTCATTCCGACTTTAGAAAAAGTACTACTTCAAAGACACTTCTATCCGACTTGTGCCCATGGACTTTAACCACTTGCCTACCGGACACTTATGCCCCCTTCTTTACCAGGCCAATTTTCAGCTTTCAGCGCTGACGCACTTTGACAATTGCGCGGTCATGCAAGATTGTACCCATATGAAATTTTTATCATTTTTTTCCTCACAAATAGAGCTTTCTTTTGGTGGTATTTAATTGCTGCTGGGCACTTTACTTTTTGCGCTATAAACAAAAAAAGTGCAAATATTTTGGAGAAAAAAAAAAAAAGTTTCTTTGTTACTATTATAAAAATTTTCAAACAGGTAATTTTTCTCCTTCACTGATGTGCATTGATGAGGCAGCACTGATGGCCACTAATAGGTGGCACTGATAGGCAGCACTAATGAGGTGGCACGGATAGGCGGCACTGATAGACAGCACTGATAGGTGGCACTGACTGGCACAACCGCTGGGCACTGACTGGCAGCACTGCTGGGCTGCACTGATGGGCACAGGTGGGTGGCACTGGTGCGCACAGGTAGGTGGCACTGCTGAGCACAGGTGGGCGGAACTGGTGGGTGGCATTGATCATCAGTGCCCTGATGATCGGTGCCGATCCCTGCTCTGACAACTGCCGGTTCCCGGCAGTACTTTCCTCACGCTCTGACAGCGTGAGAAAAGTGCAGCCGAGAACCAGCAATTGCATTTCCCGGTGATCAGCGTGTTATTGGACACGGCTGATCACGTGATAAAAGGCCGCTGTGATTGGCCTTTTACCACATCACGTGATCAGCTGTGTCCATAGGACACAGCGATCACGGAGCTCACCGGGTGTGCACCCCCGAGGGCGCGCAGGAGAGCGCGTTCTGGGAGGACGTCATAGGACTCCCTCCCAGAACTGGCCGGCCGCAATGTAGCCATCATTCGGCTATCTGCGGTTGGCAAGTAGTTAATGGAAGTCGCCTCCAAGTCGGATTCTCATCTATATTGATATTTGGATCTGACATTACAGGAAGATTACCCAGGCATCCCCTGAAAATGTCTTCAGAGTCGCTTCATAGTACTCAAAGTGGCCTGGCAAAGTCCCACTGTAAATCACGCGACTTTCAGATTGCAGTAGTGTGAACTGAGACTAAGAGAGACTTTCCTTTCTCTCGGTCCACTGAACAAACCTTTATTATTCACTGGTGGTGAAGAACAGTCAGTGATATAATGAGGTACATCATCTTCTACAGGTGGAGGCACAGCCACTGCTGGAGTAGTGCTAGCAATAAACTCTTTAAGATGTGGGCCTGCAGCCAGCCTGGAACTGAACTCATCCTTCCTGGTCGCAGCTTTCTGAGAGCCAGAGACACCAGTAGATAAAAGTCTCCAGGACAGCAAGATTTTGGCTCGGGAAAGAAGGCGAGATAACTTCAATGGTTCCATTGGCGGCACCTAAGACCTGCAGTACATGAATACAGCAAAGGAAAAAAAAAACCTGATTTACTACAACAGATTAGGAAAACACAACAATTGTGACAAATATAAAATCAATTTCAATTTAAAGCAGAACTCTGGATATGTATTAAAATAAAACCTATTAGGGTAAAAGAATAGGAGCCGTCTCCACTGACTTGTTTTTAAAGTATCTGTTCTTCCCTTCATTGCTTGGTAAACCACTGATCCAGAATAGGGACTGACAAGGGTAATATGGGAAAATCAAAGCCAGTCATCAGATCTTTCTAGTCCAGCCCAAACCTTTTGTTTTTTTTTAATGTTTTGTTTTTTTGTTTTGTATGAGGGAGAGGGCTACAACCTTCTGGCTGTCTGTGTCTCTCTTCTGAAGATTGACCTTCACTGTCCCAGTTAGAAGGTGTCAAGCAGACAGGAAGTGATGCAATATTTGTGTGATGGGGCACAAACAGCAACACACTTTATTTATTTATAAGGTGGCATAGGGAAAAGTTAGTCCCTCTGTCAGGTTTTTATTACTGTGTCTTCCTGGGCTAGTGACACTCATGCTAGTTCATTTTGTTTACTGGTGTCACTGGGACAGGAAGTAACTTTCTAACCAGGACATGTACAGCAGTAACAAACCTGACTCTTACCCACAAAACATTTGACTGGATTTGGAGTTGAATCACTTTGCCTCTCACACCTGTTCACCCCTATGGATCAGAGCAATTTTAAAATTTCTGTTTTGGACCCGTTTAATCGGCAATAACTTTGTCATTACTTAAATTAATACTGAAGGCTTAAATGTTGTTTGGAAAAAAATAACAAACATGTCATACTTACCTGCCCTGTGTAGTGGTTTTGCACAGAGTGGCCCAGATCCTCCTCTTCTTGGGTCTCCCACCAGTGCTCCTGGAACCTCTCTCCTGTTGGGTGCCCCCACAGCAAGCAGCTTGCTAAGGGGGCACCCCCAAGCAGGCATGTTCCCAAGCCGCTGCTCCATGTGTCACATCATCACAGCACACAGGGGTGCCATAAATGTGCACTGCGCATGCATGGCTCAGTGTACATTAAAGTAGAACTCACTGCATCTGAGTACTACAAACCAAAAATGCTATATAATTAATTTTTAATATTAAAAACTAATTCTTCCATCCATTCATGTCTCCATGCTTCATGTTGCTATGAAATCATTTTGAAAAACACATTTCTGGCCATGAGCATCCTGAGTAAGGGCAGATGATTTATGCAGCAGTTACTTCCTGGAATCCATCTACCCTTAGCTCAGGCATTACTGAGCTGAGAACCCTCCCCTCTTGAAGACTCCTGGGATGTATGATATAATTTGCCGAGGCACGGAAACTAGGAAGTAAATGAAGGAATGCAAAAAAAAAGATTAAAACAATCAGGGATGTTCGATTCCTATTGCCCAATGCCCCGGGACATGCAGTTCCAGGCACCAGGCAAGAGGGTTTTTTTTTTTTTTTTTAACATTTAGCCCAGGCAAGCAGCAGGGTTTAGTACCGGCAGTCGGCTCTCTTGTAAAATCAATCCAAGCAGCTAACAGGCCACTGGATTGTTTTTACGAGCAGCAAGAGGAGATGTTCCCCCCTCCTTCCACCTTCTGCAGGCTGTCCGGTCACTATGTCATCTCCCCCTGCTGTCGACCGGTTGGATAAATCAGACAGAAGCGGTCTCGTGTGAGCCAGGGGTTGTCAGCCTGATGTCACGACTTCCCTCATCTCCAATAGGTGGAGGCACGCTCTGGTCCAGTCCCACTCCATGCCGCCCTTTGGCGGAGAGTGCGAATTGACACTGTTAATAGTGATGACTGATGTTTGTGTGCCCGATGGGGTGTCACAGTGCTCGAAATGGGAGATGGCCACACTGGCCCTAATCACGTTCTTCTAGGCAGCCACCTTTGTGTTAGCATGGAGCTGCTAGAGTCTAAAGTCAGGGGGCTACCCAGATGAGGGGAACGTCACCCTACCGTACTACCCGCCTAACACCTCTGTCTACTGGCCTCCTCTGCCAATTGTCCCACACATGTGAACTATCACCGCAAACGTCAGATCACAGGCAGTAATTCTAGCACCAGACCTTATCTGTAAATCTAAAGTGTTAACCTGTAAAGGCTTTTAAAAAGTCGCCTATGGACATAGTGACATTTACGTCGTTTGTTGCCGTTGCACGGGCATGCAAAAAATGTTAGGTATCTATTTACGTTTAATCCATTTTTATTATGGAGTATTAGCAAATATTACAGAAGTACGTCGCATTTATACAAAGCATATGAATAACTGTGCCACAAACATAACAACCTCATATGAAACACAAAAATAATATATTATAAAGCAGTAGAAGAGGGGAATAATGCACAAACCATCTTGCACCAGATATATGCAAAGCCTTAGGGAAAATTAGATTATATCCAATTCAATGAAGAAAAATATTATCCGGAACGCAAGTGAAATATCAAAGCACCCTGTAAAATAAATTATACCATTCTACTATGAAGCTGTTATTAGATAGAACAAGAGAAAAGTAGGAAACAAAAAAAAGAAAGAGAAATGAGAGAAAAAAAAAAAACACACACACATGGGGGGGGGGGGGAAGAATTTGATTAGCAGAAGGACTGTCGACCTACACTGAAATAAAGGAGTCAAAGCCCATTGAAAATCTGAAGTGAGACCACACTATCCACATAAGCTTGAATGATTCGGATTTATTCTTGTCCCATCCAATCATCCTTTCCATATGTTCAATCTTGTCAACCTCACAAGTCCATTCAGCTATAGACGGAACCTCAGTCTGACGCCAATGCCTGGCGATCACAGAACGAGCGGTCATAATAAAGTGGCGTACTAGACTTCTAATTTTCTTATATAAACCTGGCAGCATAGACCAGGGAGGGAAAATGGCTAATTAGACCCAATTTGGACATTCACTTAGGGGTGTACTCACTTTTGTTGCCAGCAGTTTAGACATTAATGGCTGTGTGTTGAGTTATTTTGAGGGGACAGTAAATTTACACTGTTATACAAGCTGTACACTCACTACGTTACATTGTAGCAAAGTGTCATTTCTTCAGTGTTGTCACATGAAAAGATAGAATAAAATATTTACAAAAATGTGAGGGGTGAACTCACTTCTGTGAGATACTGTATGTATAGGCAGGGTGGTTTTACAGAAGTCGGTTGACAAATCGACTTCTGTACAGCCACCCTGCCATATTTTTGCTGCTCCACAAGTGCTGTCGGCTGCTGATCTGTTTAATCTGATGGCACAGAAGTCGCACCACCCTCAGAATACACAGGCACAATGGGAGGATTTCCCTGTACACCTTTGGATGGGGAAAAATCAGGTAATTGTGCCTATTCATAACTAGTTCTTTGCATTATACGCTGGAAATTATTTTTAAAAGATAAACAACTACAACTATTAACCTTGGCCGGGGATGAATGGGGGGTCCTGGGTTCTAAGAAATGTGCTAGCAAAAAATAAAAAATATTAAAAGTTTAAGTCGCATTAAACCCCCTTTCTTTTTTAAAAGCCCCACACGTTCATAAAAGCACCTATGCCTAATATGAAAACATCAACCCTTCATATTTTTCATTCGTGGAAAATGTATTTTTTTATCAGGACAAGTAGATTGGAATACTGATTTAGTCCCTTGGTCAAGTAGTTTTTTAAAAAAAAATTCACACCCCTTAACAAGTAAATATGATATACTTTCCTATCTATTTACTAAAGCTAGCAGCCAGGGGCGGACTGACAACTCATGGGGCCCCCGTGTCCTTGCCCAAACTCAAAAAAGCCTATGAAAAAGGTACCAGGGGCATCTCATGGGGCCCTCTACTGACCCCGGGCCCTCAGGCAGTGCCCGAGTTTCCAAATGGTCAGTCCGCCCCTGATAGCAGCATAAGAAATATGCTGATTGAGAGAGTGAAGTTCCACTTTAATGCTGACAGGGAGGGAGAAGCAATTATGGCAGACGAGACCAATAGGGTCCTGCGTATCACTGATCTGTCCAGCTCAGCATTCATATGTCATACACTAACAGAGACAGCGCTGATTTCTGTGAGGCTTGAGGAATAACGAGATTTAAAGGAGACAATTACTAAGGAGGCATACAGCCTGCCATTGCTGGTCTCTCCTTTCCTAAACTGGCCGCTGTCTGTCATACTGAATCACTATTCTCTAACCTAAAGCAAATATGCAGATCAGGGAGTTCTAAATCACTCTGACTTCACTGGCTGCATACTTAAGACAGGTGAAGAGCCAGAGACAGCAAGGCAGCTAGCATTATCAGAAGAGCAGCAGCTCCACATCTCTCTCAGTACAGAGCCCCTTATTGTGTAGCCATGCTGTTCCATGGATATGCCAGCAGATTCAACTACACCAGGGGTAGGCAACCTGTGGCTCTCTAGCTGTTGTGGAACTACAATTCCCATGAGGCATTGCAAAGATTACAAAACTGATAGTTACAGCTATGACTTGCAGAGGCATGATGGAACTTGTAGTCCTGGGGCTCTCAGGTTGCCTACCCTTGACCTAGACTGAGTCCCCCTGCCTTCTAAGCATGCACTCCTCCTGGACACGTGTCTCACAGTACTTTGCAGCCAGTATCACAGCATACACAAGTATACTCACTAATATCCCTATAAAATAGGAGCCAGGTGAGCAGGAGATCCGATCAGCCTGCACAGCACACACGTGCCCCTCCACAGACAGAGGACAGGAAGAAACAATGACGTCATCAGCCTGAGCCGAGCTCTGCACTACCACAGCGACATCTAGTGACAGAATGTGTAATGGCAGAAGGATACTACTTATGTATTGTAAATAGAAAAATGCCCATTGTCTGTATTGTAATTGTAAATGAAGTATCTGCAGAACAGTGAGTACCTGAATACTAGGGAATATCTAGCTTTAACCACTTGCCCTCCTGAGAATGTACCCCCCCCTTCCTGACCAGGCCATTTTTTGCGATACGGCGCTGCATTACTTTATCTGACAATTGTGCAGTCATGCAACACTGCACCCAAATGAAATTTATGTCCTTTTTCCCAAAAAATAGAGCTTTCTTTTGGTGTATTTGATCACTTCTGCGGCTGTTAACTTTTGCATTATAAACAAAAAAGACCAACAATTTAAAAAAAAATTATATATATATATATATATATATATATATATATATATATATTATTATTTTCTACTCTAAAACATATCCAATAAAAAAAAAATTGAAAATCCATTTTCTTCATAAATTTAGGCCAAAATGTATTCTGCTACATATCTTTGGTAAAAAAAAAAATCACAATAAGCGTATGTTAATTAGTTTGCGCAAAATTTATAGTGTCTACAAACTTTGGGACATATACTGGAATTTTTTAGTAATGGCGGGAATCAGTGACTTATTGCGGGACTGTGATGTTGCAGCAGACAGTTTTACACTAACTGACACATTCTGGAAACCAGTGACACTAATACAGTGATCAGTGCTAAAAATATACACTGATGACTGTACTAATGACACTGGTTGGGAAGAGGTTAACATCTAGAGTGATCAAAGGGTTAAGTGTGTGCCTAGCTATGTGCTTGGTGTGTACTAGGTGGTACTGGAACAAGAGGAAGTGATGGATTGCCTTTACCAACTCTGCGGGGGGACACGATCGATCACTCTCTCCTGTCACAACAGAGCTGTGCCTATAAAAAAAAATTTTTTTGGAAATAAAACAATATTTTCTAATTTTTGTTATTAAAAAATACAATAAACTTAAATTTCAACATAAATTTAGGCCAAAATGTATTTTGCTACATTTCTTTGGTAAAAAAAATAAGTGTATATTAATTGGTTTGTATGAAAGTTATAGCATCTGAAAATGATGCTATAGATACTGGAATTTACATAGCTTTTACCTTCTGACTGTCTATCATCACTATCATATTTCTTGAGGTGCTAAAATACCAGGACAGTACAAACACCCCCAAGTGACCCCTTTCTGGAAAGTAGACACCTTAAGCTATTTGCTGAGAGGCAAGTTTTTTGAAAATGACATTTGGGGGTTTTTTACACATATTTGCATCTAAATGGTATATTGTTCACACATGCCATGGGTATATTTGGAATTACACCCCAAAATATTTTCTGCTACTTCTCCTAAGTATGGGGATACCACATGTGTGAGACTTTTTTGGAGTCTAGCCGTATACAGGAGCCTGAAAACCAATGACCCCACTGAAAGCCTGAAGGTGCGAAAATTCCTCATTGCACTTCCTCACTACCTATTACAGTTTCAGAGTCTCTGAAATTGCAATATAGCACAATTTCCCCCCCCCCCATGACCCCTTTTTGGAAAGTTGACACACCAGACTATTTGCTGAGAGGCATGTTCAGTCAATGGAATACTTTATTTTTTGCCATAAGCTTTTGGAAATGACAAAAACAAAATACACAAAGTTGTCACTTAACCACTTCCTGTCCAGACACTTTTACCCCCTTCCTGTCCAGGGCAATTTTCAGCTTTCAGCGCTATCACCCTTTGAATGACAATTGCGCGGTCATGCAACATTGTACCCATATGAATTTTTTACCATTTTTTTTTTGAGACAGATAAAGCTTTATTTTGGTGGTATTTATTTCACCGCTGGGATTTTTATTTTTTTTTGCTATGTAAATGAAAAAGTCCAAAAATTGTGAAAAAAAGGTGCAAATAAATAATATTTCATCATAAAGCTTTGCCAAAATTTATTCCGTTATCTTTTTAGTAAAAAAAAAAAAAATTAGCCAAATTAGTTTATAACCAAAAATTATAATTTTAAACATTTTTTTTTACATTTTTATTTTATTTTTTTATATTATTATTTGAGTTTTTTTACATACTGTCACCCTAGGAGTACAGTGTCACCATGGTGACACTGTACTACTTGTGGGGGGTGATGAAGATTTTTTTTTTTTTTTTTTTACACTGATTGCTTTTACACCCATATAGGATGTAAAAGCAATCGTTTCCCTTTCTCTGTCTGCATTCTTGCAGCCATTGAGAACTACTGAGTGAGCTGTGATTGGTCACAGCGTGTCACATGGTACAAGGCTGTTGTGAATAGCCTTGTACCATGTGACCTCTGTGATCATTCACAGATTTCACACGTAGTAATCAATGATGTCACAAGTGACATCTTGCTTACTACTTTGCATGTGAATACTGATTGGCCAATCAGTGATCACATTATCGGGACCTCGTACTGAGGTCCCGTCCGACGATCGGTATTTCACTGTGTCCGGAGGACACATCGAGCACCGGATTGCGGTGCTGCGTGCTCCCAGGGAGCACGCACAAGCAGGGTGCGGGGAGGCCGTTTATAAACGGCCACCCGACCCTGCACTGCCACCATCCGGCCATTTATATACAACGGCCAGATGGGAGGTGGTAAAATGATATATTGCTCACACGTTCCATGGGTATATGTGGAATTACTCCCCAAAATACATTCTGCTACTTCTTTCGAGTATGGGAATACTACATGTGCAAGACTTTTTGGCAGGCTAGCCGCATACAGGAGCCTGAAATCCAATGACCCCTTTGAAAGCCTGAAGGTGCATAACTTTCTCATTTCACTTCCTGACTACCTATCACAGTTTCAAAGGCCCTGAAATGCCAGGATAGCACCCCCCGTGTTGAGTATTTTGCAGATCTTATTTTTCCTCATAAAAGGTTTTGAAAAACAAAAAGGAAATCAAAAATATGTTTTTGTTTTCTTTCTTCATTTTCCAAAAACTTATGCAACAAACGAGATCTGCAAAATACTCATCATGCCTCTTATCAAATTACTTGGGGTGTCTACTTTCCAAAAAAGGGCTCATTTGGGGGAGGTTTGTACTATTCAGGGCCCCTGAAACTGTGATAGGTAGTTAGGAAGTGTAATGAGGAAATAAAGCCCTTTAAAAGCCTGAAGGTGCTTCATGGATTTTGGGGTCCTGTATGCGGCTAGACTGCCAAAACGTCTCTCACATGTGGTACCCCCATACTTGGGAGAAGTAGCAGAATGTATTTTGGGCAGTAATTCCACATATACCTATGGCATGTGTGAGAAATATATCATTTAATTGACAACTTTGTGTAAAAATAAATGTATATATATATTTTTATGTCATTTTCCAAAAACACGTGGTAAAAAATAAATTCTTCTACTGACTCAACATGCCTCTCAGCAAATAGTTTGAGGTGTCCACTCTCAAAAAGGGGTCATTTGGGGGGGAGTTGTTATCTTGGCATTTTATGCTCAGCATTAGAATCTTATGCCACACATTACTCACTCTTCTAACCACTTGAAGACCAAGCTTTTTCTAAAACTTTTTGTTCACTTGAAAAAAAATAATTTTTTGGGCTAAAAAATTACTTTGAACCCCCAAACATTATATTTTTTTTAAACCAGACACCCTAGAGACTAAAATGGTGGGTGTTGCAATTTTTCATGCCACACAATACTTGCGCAGCAATTTTTCATATGCACTTTTTTTTAATAAAAATACACTTTTTTTAATTTTAATTCACAAAAACACAATGTATTGGCCAATTGTTTGGTAAAATATAAAAGATGATGTTATGCCAAGTAAAAAGATACTAAACATGGCACGCCTCGTGCAACGTTGACAAACTATGTACATTTTTAGTCAAAAATTGAAGGGAAGGAAACGGGAGAAATTGAAATTGGACTTTAACGGCACAGAAATTCCAAAACACATATTGGTAAAATTATTTGTACTTTATTGTGACAATAAGTTATGAAAAAACATCTTGCAGTTTAAAAGATCATAGTTATACTGTCCCCGCAGACAATGTCCCACAACCCACCATGTACAAGGAACACACTAGTGATGAGGGATACAAAAACCACCAGATGGATCCTATGGGGGGTTGAGAGACATTAAGCTACAGGAAAATGGCCCAACATGTTTTACTTCTTCAGGGGCTTAGTAGTAAAATATATAATATGAATATGCACCATGCAGCAGCAAAATCCTCCATGCATAAGGGGTAGGCCTCCTCTGTGTTTCCACAAGGCTAGGGGTTAATCGGAAGGCCAGATATGGGGTCACAACAATGGCCGACAGTCCAGAATCACAATGATCTTTAACAGGAGTATTTGTGTCACAGGTCAAGTTTTCTTGCAGGAAAATGGTCCTCTCCTCCTTCTAAGCGGAAGATGTAAAAAGGAAAAGGTGGATGCCCTCAACTATTTAAAAGCAAACTGCAAGAAGATGACTCCCAGTCACAATGGTGCAACGAGATATTACACCTGGGCCAGTCCATCAAAAACTTAAAGGGTACCGGAAAGTAAGCCCGGCCTTTTAATGGAAGGCAGGTCAATGATGAAGAATATTTATATTGGTACTGAGTTGATGGAGTAGGCACAAGTGTCCGACGAGGAGACGACCATTTTTTTTTATAAGTGATCACATTTCCTCTGTTCTCAGCTGCATACAAGCTGAAGGAGGAGAAACAGCAGACACTGATCCTCCCAGTTAACGGTTTGTGCAGAGGAGGTGTGTCAGCACAGGTCTGATCATTGGAAGAGGCAGAATTCCCAGCAGCACACCTAAAGAACTGACCACAGTGTGCTATCATGCCTAGTGCGGGGTGTGTCAGAGCTCCGGGTATGACCAGAGAGTATGTGAACTGACGCAGGGAAACGCAGGCTTCAGGTATGGTATAATAAGACAATTTATTAAGACTAACAATACAAACATAAACGCAGTGCACCAAACCCCAAGCTAACACAAATACATACAAGGTGAAACAAACCCAAACCTAAACTGATACAGATACACAGGTACATACACATATAGAGCACAACGTAATCAGGCAGACCCGGTCGATAACTTCGGGCAGGTAGGTACAGGAGGAGCAGGCGGAGAGAATGGTCAGGGTCACAAGCCAGGGATCAAAACAGGAGAAGTCAGCAGAGGTCAGGATCAAGCAGGGTCAGCAACAAGTCAGGCAGAGGCAGAGGCAGGAACAGGAACAGGAACACAGGTTACAAGATACAGGGGCCCATGGAAAAACACACACCAAGGCACAGCCTGCAGGTCTGGCAATCCCTTAAATACACCTGCATAATCAGCTTCAGGTGTTTGGCTGGCTGCAGGGTTGAGTCTCTGATTGCTGAGAGCACCCGCTGGCCAGCCCTGGTACTGCAGCCCACAAGGCAGGTGAGTCCCACCATTACTGGCAAGTCCATTCCTGACCGCAGGGAAGTGTGTTAGGACCAGCCTGATCATTGAATTAGCTCCCAGCACAGCCAGAACTCTGACCAGGATGTGTTCTAAATGCCTAGTGTAGTCAGTTTTTTAATAGGAAAGCAGAGGGGCTGGCAGGAACACGATTTCATGCAAAGGGAGCAATACAAAAAGAACAGGATACTTTTTCATACAAGTACATGGTACAGCAGGCACATATCAAGAAAATGAAATGTTGGGTTTACATGTTCTTTAATCTCTCAATTGTTTATCCTTGAAGGAGTCTATGACTTTTTGTTCCTTTGCAATAAAGTCATCAGGTAATGGAGGGGATGGGGAACAGCGGAATAAGAAATATTTTTTAGTGTAAATATTGGCACATTTTCCATGTGCCGTATCAACAAATCCATTACAAGTTTTAAGTGTGGTTGTACCAGATGGGCTAAATCAAGTTAAAGCAGAGCTAAACCTCCTTTTCCTTCAATGCACGTCCCTCGTTGGTGCCAGAATCGTCTTTTGGGTGCCTGTCTTTCGCAGTCTTCATTGGCCGGTGTGGGATGACATCACTTCTACCCATATGGAGGAGTGCAAGCGGGCAGGTAGAACTCTTATTAAAAAGCCTGTATTTTTTGAAAGCAGGACTTTAGTTCCGCTTTAAAGTAGAACTGAAGGCAAAACTAGCAAAGGAGGGTTATAATCCTTGCCAGGTTTTTTTTTTGCCATCTGTGTCCCATTGAGGAGATTTCTCTTCACTTTCTATCCCATAGCTAAAACAAAAAGTGATAGGAAACCCTTCTAAAGTGAGGGAATCCCTGGTTGTCACCAGAAATAGGGTCCCCATTGGAAGATCTCCCCCTCTATAGCTGTTCTGGGGACAACCCAAGTTTGTCATTTTCTTTTACTTTCACTGAAAATGGTAAATGACACAGAGAGGGTGAATCCCCCAAATGGGGACACAGAGAGCAATAAAAATCTAACAGGTGGTATAATCCCTCTTCAATGTATCCAAAACTAAGGGTGATATGCAACAGTTTCTATTAAAGTGGACCTAAATGCAAAACTTTTTCTTAGTAGATGCATGGCTATACTCTTGTACTGTAAAAGAGTCAAAATTGAATTAAGACCAAATGGAAAAGTTTTACGTACAGGTAGGACCTATCATACCTTTACATTCCTCAGGATAATACAGGTGAAACTCCAAAAATTAGAATATCGTGCAAAAGTTCATTTATTTCAGTAATGCAACTTAAAAGGTGAAACTAATATATGAGATAGACTCGTTACAAACAAAGCAAGATAGTTCAAGAAATGATTTGTCATAATTGTGATGATTATGGCTTACAGCTCATGAAAACCCCAAATCCACAATCTCAGAAAATTAGAAAATTTTGTGAAAAGGTGCAATATTCTCGGCTCAAAGTGTCCCACTCTAATCAGCTAATTAAGCCATAACACCTGCAAAGCGTTCCTGAGCCTTTAAATGGTCTCTCAGTCTGGTTCAGTAGGAATCACAATCATGGGAAAGACTTCTGACCTGACAGCTGTGCAGAAAACCATCACTGACACCCTCCATAAGGAGGGAAAGCCTCAAAAGGTAGTTGCAAAAGAAGTTGGATGTTCCCAAAGTGCTGTATCAAAGCACATTAGTAGAAAGTTATGTGGAAGGGAAAAGTGTGGAAGAAAAAGGTGCACAAGCAGCAAGGATGACCGCAGCCTGGAGAGGATTGTCAGGAAAAGGCCATTCAAAAGTGTTGGGGACTTTCACAAGGAGTGGACTGAGGCTGGAGTCAGTGCATCAAGAGCCACCACACACAGACGGATCCTGGACATGGGCTTCAAATGTCGTATTCCTCTCGTCAAGCCGCTCCTGAACAACAAACAGCGTCAGAAGCGTCTTACCTGGGCTAAAGAAAAAACAGACCTGGTCTGTTGCTCAGTGGTCCAAAGTCCTCTTTCCTGATGAGAGCAACTTTTGCATCTCATTTGGAAACCAAGGACCCCGAGTATGGAGGAAGAATGGAGAGGCACACATTGCAAGATGCTTGAAGTCCAGTGTGAAGTTTCCACAGTCGGTGTTGATTTGGGGAGCCATGTCATCTGCTGGTGTTGGTCCACTGTGCTTCATTAAGTCCAGCGTCAACACAGCCGTCTACCAGGAGATTTTGTAGCACTTCATGCTTCCTTCCACAGATGAGCTTTATGGGGATGCTGACTTCATTTTCCAGCAGGACTTGGCACCTGCCCACACTGCCAAAAGCACCAAAACCTGGTTCAATGACCATGGGATTACTGTGCTTGATTGGCCAGCAAACTCACCTGACCTGAACCCCATAGAGAATCTATGGGGCATTGCCAAGAGATGAGAGACATGAGACTGAACAATGCAGAAGAGCTGAACGCCGCTATTGAAGCATCCTGGTCTTCCCATAACACCTCAGCAGTGCCACAGGCTGATAGCTTCCATGCCACGCCGCACTGAGACAGTAATTGCTGCAAAAGGGGCCCAAACCAAGTACTGAGTACATATGCATGCTTATACTTTTCAGAGGTTCGATATTGTTCTATGTACAATCCTTGTTTTATTGATTGCATGTAATATTCTAATTTTCTGAAATTGTGGATTTGGGGTGTTCATGAGCTGTAAGCCATAATCATCACAATTATGACAAATCACGGCTTGAACTATCTTGCTTTGCATGTAATGAGTCTATCTCATATATATTAGTTTCACCTTTTAAGTTGCATTACTGAAATAAATGAACTTTTGCACGATATTCTAATTTTTCGAGTTTCACCTCTATATGATTACACAGCATTTTTATAGCCATTCTGGATTACATATGTTTCAGATTTTGTGGGGCATTGGCATCTTCAGTTGACCACTTGCAATCCGGGCCTATTCTGACACTTTTCTTCCAAAATATCAAAATCTGTATTTTTTTGGTAGAAAAAATTATTTACAACCCCCAAATATTATATACATATTTTTAACAGAGGCCCTAGTGAATAAAATGTTGGTCGTTGATTTTTTTTTTTATTTCAGGCGTATTTGTTCAGCGGTTTATCAAGCACATTTTTTGGGAAAAATACACATTCATTTTAATGCAAAAAAGCACAGAGGATTTCAGATTTCAAATGAACACAGCAGCCACCAGCACACAGTTGCCTTTTGCATGTGGTAAGGAGGCTGAGAGAAGCCTCTGCTGTCATCTACTTCTGGCAGGTCTGGCTGCATCGTATCAACTCAGAGACTTGTGGCTGTTCCTGTATAGCTGCTGTGTACACCCTTCCACAACAAGTTTTAATGTAAGTGTGGATATGTATTTACTGAAATAAAGTGATACTATTGATTGAACCTGGAACTCTGTTCACCAGCATATGGGACCTTCTTCATTCATGGTAAGTTAAGCTAACCAGATGTCCTCAATTTCTGGGGACAGTCCCCAATTTTAGTAGGTTGACTCTAGATAAAAAGTATCCCCAGATCTGTCCTTGTTTTTAGTAATGGAGTCCCCAGCCTTGAAGACACATGACTAAGTCTGGCAGTGACTGCTAGGTCCACTGCTGTTTCTTCTTGGTATCTCCAAGGTGTCCCTCCTAGCTATACATGCATATCTGTTTATTTTGTCTTTATGCCTTGCACATCTGTCTCTTGTTCCAAACGTTTGTGGCCAGTTATTATTATTTTTACATCGAGTTTATATAGCGCCAAAGGGTTTGCTCAGCGCTGTACAACATAGGGGAGAATACGTGGCACAGTACAACGATAACAAACAACACACGAGGGGTAAGAGGGCCCTACTCTTTCGAGCTTTCAATCTAGGAGGGAGGGGGTAGTGGTACAGGAGGAAGTGGCTGTGGGGGATGGAGTGGTGAAAGGAATGAGGGAGAACGGCCGTTAGGTGAGGGTGGGGTAGGCTTCCCTGAAGAGATGGGTTTTGAGGGAGCGCCTGAATGTGATGATATGGTAAAAACAGAGGTGTGGTATTGTTGGTGTGGTTACAAATGGCAGTATCATTTTTCGAGTGTAGTTTTATGTGGACGGTCAGTAAGGCATTCCTGGATTTCTTTTTAAAATCTGGTAACCTTATGATGAGTACTGTCTCTGTGCTTTTTTTTTTTTTTTTAAATCATTAAAATTCAGCTTGAGAAAGGGTGCCATTGCAGAACGAAGCACTGGAGTATTACCTGGTATAGGGCTTCAATAAAACTTTTCTATGTGGACTTTATTTGATTGCTGCATTGCTCTGCATTTTGAAGCAATAGAGATCCCAACTGTCCCTTATTTTGAAGGACTGTCCCTTTTTTTAGACTAAATCTCTTTGTGCCCCGCCCCCTTCCCCCATGCAGCCTTAGCTGTCCCCCCCCCCCTTTGGTTTTGAGGTGTGCAGCCACAATGTATTGGAACTCCCACCTGTCACTGTAAACACAGAAGCTGGTAAGGGAAGGTTTCTGCTCTACTCACGTCCTATACTGGCTTCTGTGTTTACAATGACTGCACGTCTCTTTGAGCAACTCAGGGATTCTGCCGAGCCATACCAGCCTTGCTGCTTCTCCTGAGGACTTCTCCCAGGCCCTCTCAGGTGAAGTGTGGGAGGGTTCTCTATTGTGTGTAGAGGGCTGTATACTCTGTGTGGGGAAATCTATACTGGGTGTGTGTTTGTGGGGGGGGGGGCAATATTGTGAGGGGAGCTCTGTACTGTGTGGATGAGGGGCGCTCTGTACTGTGGCAGAACAGTTCTGTAACACATGTGGGGGCCTTTATACTGTATGTGGGATGCACTGTACTGTGTAGGGGGGCTCTATGCTCTATATTGTGGAAGACATGCTCTCTACTGCATGGGGGCCTTTGTAACGTGGGGGAACTTGGGGGATGTGGGGGGAAACCCCTGCACTGTGAGTGGGAGCTCTGTACTGTAGGGGGACGCTATACTGTGGGGGACTCCATAATGTGGTGGGGATTCTAGGAGAAAGAGGGTGGAGGAAAAACTCTGTGCTGATACAGGGAGCTCTGTACTAGGGGATGGGGAGTAAGCGCTAGATTTGAGGGGATGGATCTGAGCGCTGTACTGAGGGGTTTGGGGGGAAGGTA